TGAGCTGTTAAATAGTTTTTTTTTTTTTATAAAAAAAGTATGAACATTAAACAAAATATTCGGATTCATTAATGAATTTGTTTTATAAACAAGAAACAATAATAATATTTAAAATTTTAAAGAATGCCATGAAAACAAATTTTGGTTAACTTGATTTGAGCTGTTAAATAGTTTTTTTTTATATAAAAAAAAGTATGAACATTAAACAAAATATTCGGTTTCTTTAATGAATTTGTTTTATAAACAAGAACAAAATGATAATATTTAAAATTTTAAAGAATGCCATGGAAACAAACTTTTGGTTAACTTGATTTAAGCTGTTAAATAGTTTTTTTTTTATAAAAAAAAGTATGAACATTAAACAAAATATTCGAATTCTTTAATGAATTTGTTTTATAAACAAGAAAAGAATAATAATATTTAAAATTTTAAAGAATGCCATGAAAACACATTTTGGTTAACTTGATTTGAGCTGTTAAATAGTTTTTTTTTTATAAAAAAAAAGTTTGAACATTAAACAAAATATTCGGATTCTTTAATGAATTTGTTTACCATGGAAACAAACTTTGGTTAACTTGATTTGAGGTGTTAAATAGTTTTTTTTTTATAAAAAAAAGTATGAACATTAATCAAAATATTCGGATTCTTTAATGAATTTGTTTTATAAACAAGAAAAAAATAATATTAAAAATTTTAAAGAATGCCATGGAAACAAACTTTGGTTAACTTGATTTGAGGTGTTAATTAGGTTTTTTTTTTGTTTTTTTCAAAGATAAGGATAATTATAAAACGTGTCTTGTTTACCTTTTATCAGCTGCGAATAACAACGTTCACGTAATGGAATGAGAAAAAAAACAATACTGGATTGTAGCGACGACTGGCGCCTGCATTTCAATTAAATCGCAAACGTGCATTTGCGCAAATTATTTGAGAAAAACGCGCGACTAGGCCAATGCCAATGACTGCTGGCTGCATTTGGAGCGACTAGACTGAAAGTAAATAACGAGAAGACCTTCGATGATTTTTAAAATTTCACCTTTTTTAATTTAATGAAATATTTGTTTTTTTATAAACGCAGACATCTATTTGTTTATCAGAGAACGTAGGTGACTTACGGTTAACGTCAGAGCTAAAAAAAAAATTAATGAATTACGTTAAAATTTGTTAAAAATTAGGTAAGAATGTTTAAAATTAGTACGAAAAGGTGAACGTTAGGTCATGCTAGAAAAAAGAAATCGAATCAATTCTGCGTTTGTTTATAATTGTAATGTAAATAGAATTTGTCTGTCGGTGATCACCTGCGCGTAGTGTGAAGATTATTTGTATTAAATTATACAGTAAACATGCATCTTCTATTTATACATTCAGAAATTACAATTCTAACGTTAACTGATAACGAAAATTTAGACTTAAAGTTACAATAGAATTTTTATAGTAAATTTATGTAAGATTATGTGACTCGTTAAGTAATTACCAAAGTCGTCTTATGGAAGACTAACATATGCAACCAAGGTAGCAGTTTCAAAGCAATTGTGTTGCGTTCAAAGCAGTAATTTGTTATATTTTCAAATGTACACTGTTGTCACCATCTACATTAACTTACCTTGTAGTTAAGCAAGTTTTTCAGCGGATACTATTTTGATGGGTGACCAAAATTGCCTTAAAAAAAAAACATTATAAACATTAAACAAAATATTTAGATTCTTTAGTTAATTTGTTTTCATAAACAACAAAAGAATAATAAGTAAAATTTTAAAGAATGCCATGAAAACATATTTTGGTTAACTTGATTTGAGCTGTTAAATAGTTTTTTTTTTATATAAAAAAAAGTATGAANTTTTTTTTTATATAAAAACCGTTTATGTAAGATTTATGTAAGATTATGTGACTCGTTAAGTAATTACCAAAGTCGTCTTATGGAAGACCAACATATGCAACCAAGGTAGCAGTTTCAAAGCAATTGTGTTGCGTTCAAAGCAGTAATTTGTTATATTTTCAAATGTACACTGTAGTCACCATCTACATTAACTTACCTTGTAGTTAAGCAAGTTTTTCAGCGGATACTATTTCGATGGGTGACCAAAATTTCGGTTTACAAATGTCGTGTTAAGATTTAGATTTAAGTTTTGAATTTGGACAGGTCTGTAATGAGGATGTTATATTTGTTGTTTCAGATCGTCGTTCCTGCTTCGGCGGTGCTTCACGTGTGCGACTTCGCTTGCGGGAGTTGCCCACAGAACATGCAATGTCTACCGTTGGAAACTGAAGAGGTGACGTTGGCCTTCAAGATCATTCCTCGCAACAATGCGGACAAGGATGGTTCGTGCCATTTCCAAACGAGTACCAGTAGAATAGAGACCGTGACGAAAGTGAATCACACCAGGTGCTCTTGCCAGAAGCCGTCGAATACGCCCAAGTAGAGAATCCGTCCACTCACAATATTAACTCCCTAAGTGGTTATGACGTATATATTCGTCATGGTCTCTTTGCTTATGACGAATATATTCGCATCATGCAAAAACGTTTCGGTGGGGCCTTAATCGTTAAACCGCCACTGGATCCATCCACCAATTGCAACAAAAGAGACAAAATCAGAGTTTGTGAATAAACCAAGGAAAGTAACGGTTTTGTCGCATTGTTGTTCAGTATTCATTTTTTTTGTTTGTTTGTTTGTTAATAATGTATTGTGCATGTGTATTTTTTTTGTTTATATTTATTTATTTATTACTAAATTACCCGTGATATTATTTTACTTAATTATGACATATTTTTTTAATTATATTTATTCCAAACGCTTGAATTTGCTATAAACTTTAATCGTCCTACGGTAACTATGGACGCTATTAGTTCGATAGTTGTTACTAAGGACGCCATGAGGTTGCTATCCAACTAATTATAATCAAGACGTCATCCTTGTTACTAGGAACGCCACGAGGTTGCTATCAAGCAAATTGTTGTGTTATGTAAAACTTCTGTTGATGTTAAAAAAAAACACACAACAATTTTATACCATTTTTTTTTGATATACCTATAAACAACAATAAATTTTATAGCAGACGTAAATTTCGAACTTTATTCCAATAACCTAAAATAAAAAATAAAATTGAACAGTTATTTTCGTGCATATATTTAATTTTATTAAAACGAAGAAAACTTCTTCTTCTTCGTTGCACCTTGGTTACCTTGAAATGATGGCAAACTTGATTATATATGTATCTTAATTATTTTTTTTTACAATCCTCAAACTTGTTCCTTGCATTCCCCAAAAAAAAAACACCAAAAATTAAAAAGAAATAAAATTCATTTCGGAAATGAACTTTTGCAATAATTATGTAACGTATAGATCGAAAAACAATGTAATTTATTTTTTTTCTAGCTTCGCTTGTTTTCTTTTCGTGCTTCCATTCGAATTTCGCAACTAAAAATTTGAATATTTTTTTGTTCTTTTCACATTTATTAACTAAAGATTTTTATTATTATTATTAAATGAAACCTTCATATGTGATGTATAGAAAGTATAAAGTTTGTTACATAAATTAGAAAAGACAATAAAAAGTTTACGTTTCTAAATTAAATTTAAACAATAATATAAATACTTTTAATTTGTTATTGATTATTAACTAATAAACTATACTTTAAACACATTTATATACTTCTTCAAAGAATGTCAATTGTTTTATAAAGTATGAAATTTAGGAATAATTTGTTTTCTTTTGTTGCTACATGTTTCCACTACGTGATTTTGTAAACTTATAATATTTGCATTTAAATTGGTAAGTTAGTGACCTTTATGTCAAAATATCGCATTACAGAAATGCAACTTTCAAATTCAAAATTACGACTGTCAGGCAACCAAAGTTTCATCGTCCATCTATGGCCAGGAAGCCGAACATCGATGACATCTGTCACCCAAAAATGGACCATCTGATGAATCAAAGTTTAACTGTGTGCCATATGGCGATTGAAAAACTTAGACCGGACATTAAAACCAATTTAAAAAATCGGTCGCCCGCGCCTTCAACCTAAAAAAAAATTATATAACGCTTATGTTAATCATGTATATATTTTTTTTGTATCATTAGAAAATCTATTAAGTTACATAAAGGCCAACAATCTAAAAAAAAAAAAAAACAACAACTCATTACATAAATGCAAGGAGAACTTTTCTCTCCAATCCAAGATTATCGATAATCGAGACGAAAAAAAAATATGTATCTGAAGATTAGATAGTGTACATGTTACATTTTTTTCACCCGAATTACGCTTTGTTCTATAATGTTATGTTTTTTTTTGCGTTTCGTGGATTTCGTATTTTCGGAAGTGAATCGATCGGAGATCGATGGATTCGATTGGATCGGATTGGAGGAATCGTCGGTCTCTTTCTCCTTCCTCACCATCTCCTTCCAACATCCACGAATTTCGGTTGGTCATTGGTCGTTGGGTTGCAGCATCGGAATGGAGGTCGCCACCTATATATAAGTGTTGTCATAAGCTCGTTTCGTTCAGTGTTCGAGAGTTTGTGTTCCACGTAACGTGAATCGCGATCGTGTGTATATATTCCCCTCGATCTTCTTATTCTTCGTACAAATTATTTTTTTTTTGTACATACATTTGTTTACCGAGTTTCTTTTTCCGCAGTTGTTAAGTGAAACGCAGAGGCTTAAACATGTGCGGTAAGTGTGCATATCTGGAAGATACCTACACGTACGCCTAGAAACTAACCTCCGTTCATAACCGGTAGCACAAGACCTGTCAGTTTTGACGTTGACAACCTCCTTCCACCCTCTACAAACATAACAACAACAACAACAAAAAAAACAATAATAACACGAAAACAAGACCTACTGCATCTCTATTAAATCTATGATATGATGCGAAACTATTTTAAACACTTGTCAAATCTGACAAGTCGATAAAATATTGCAAACAAATCACTTTGATTTTTTTAATTAACTAACTAATTAATTTATTATTTCTGCTTCATGAGCAACGCGATTATATTCAAATATTTATAAAATTTTTGAAAGTTTCGTCCGATTTGAAAGTTATGTTTTTGGGTAATTAGGAAAGTGAGAGAAAAATAAATTGTTAATGTGTTTACTTCATTAACTTTTGTTTATACTTTCAACAAAATCTAACAATTTTTTTTTGAATTGTTTTAAATTTACGTATAAACTTATTTAACTTTTTCCATATGATTTTATTTAATTATTTGCATTATTAACAATAGAATTTATATCTAAAATTGGATGTAAAAGCAAACATTTTTGCAATAAAAACATTTCTATTGCAATTAAAATGCGCAATTACATCATTTTTCTATATTTTTTTTTATTGTTTTTGTTCGCGTTCATAACGGAACTGAAACGTTAATGAATCGCATCGATTTGCATTCGCACTTCGTTCGTCGTTTGTTTCAATTTAACAAATGAGGCTACTATGATCTGCGATATTACTGTTACGAATAATCGGCAGGACGAAGTTTGAATATCCGAATGAAAGCTTCAAAATTAAACTTACTGTGAAATGTTTCGTAAATACGAAATTGATGAATTGATTTGTCAATGTGATCAAAAAAATGTTTGTTTAAAAAATAATGTACTAATTTTTATGAATTTAAGCTAATTTGTGACCTAAATTTTATATATCTTTCGGTTTTTGCCAATCAGGTTGTCATGTTCTTATACTTTATCATCAACAAAATTAAGTTGTGTACAATTTAGTTGACTGTAAATTGATAAAAAGAAACAATTTACTAATTTTTATTTGGGCTAATTTCTATCTGAAAATTTCGGTTTTGCAAATACAGAAAATTGATACCGCTGAATTCCATTTGCAGGCGTCGTTTTACGTGAGTAAAACTAACTTTCTACGACGTGAAAGCCGTAGTGAATTGCAGCCGGCGTTTTGTTCTCTTTCTTACATATAAATATATGAGTGTGCGTGAAAAACGAAAAGAAACAAAAAAATTTACGCGCAATAGAAATGGAGACGTGATCAATAATTCCGATTATCAGAGCATATGTTAATTGGAATTTGGGTCACAGAGAAATTATTTTCTTTGTTACAAAATCTCCATAGTTAAGCAACAATTTCTACTTGGATGGAGACAATTATGATTTGATATATTATATCATAATTACAGAATTTCAATTGACATTAGTAATTCGTTTATTTGGGAGAGTTTTCAAATTTCATTATGTAAGACAGGTTTTTTTTGTAATAAATCATTTCGAAACGTCTTTCGATTACAAAACGTTATTTCTTTCCAATTTTTGTACACTCTCCGGCGATTCGGAATTGCGTAACTTTTTCGTATTGAGTTTTTCTTCCTGCGGCCGAAAAGAGACACCACTTTTGATCGGATTTGTGAAATCGCGACCAAAAGTTTTATAAAAATGCGAATTGCGTAACGCAACAAATTTTTTTTAATGAGAATCAAGCAGTTTGGTTTTTTGTTTGTTCAAATATAAATTGACGAACGAAATTAAACAGTTTGCTTTGATATTATTGCTTTGTTTCGTTTCTTTCAAATAAGTGATTGAACATAAATTGACATATAATTGACACAAACGAAAAAATCAAACCAGTTTTGTAAAATTTCCATCATTCAAAATTACAATTAGAAAATAATTAACGTGCAATTACTTTCACAATCATTATTCAAACATAAAACAATCAGTAAAATTTCAAACGAAATTCATTACTAATCAATAGTTGAATTATCAAATGTTTCAAAACAAAACATGAACAGTTTTGAGTAATGATTATTTCTTTGTTTTTATTTTACCATAAAATCTTTTGTTTTTATTTAACGATCGCTTGGATTTTAGAAAAAAAATCACGTCTCTAACTAATCTTAAAAAAACATTTGAATATTTTTAGTCAAGATTTTTTTTGTTTCTTTCCTATTTTCTAGATTACATAATTTTTATGTGTTTCTTTTTTCGTCGTTAGGCAATAATGTCTATATATATATATTTTTTTATGATTTGTTGAATAACTTATTTAACTTTTCGTTTATTGATGGATTGAGATATAACAACTAATGAAAGTTGTCTGATAAAATTTATTCATTTACACATTAATTATTGAAATTTATACGTTTAAACGAAGGTCAATATTTAAATAATTTAATATCAATAATTTTGCACTTTTCTGTAAGAATTATTGCTTTTTAACATAATAGAAAGTAAAAGTATTATAAATAAATTTGTAAGTAAAAATTGGTTAAGTTTTTAGAAAAAATTGATGAAAATTACTAGAAATTTATAAATTTAAATTTGTATTTGTTCTGGTAGAAAATTTGCAAGATTTTGAAGAGGAGTCTTTCGAGACTAAAAGAAGAAAATTAAAAAGTAAAGTCCTTGAGAACGGTTTCGCTTTCATTGTAGTCGCAAGATCAGATATGTATACAACAAAAAAAAAGTATGCAGGTAATGGTAGTTGTTTTTTCTCTTTCACCTTCTTCTGTCCCATTCCGCCTTTACTAAGACCATAAGGTATGTAATAAAACCATAGACAAGGCGACAAAGGTTGGGCACGAGTAGGATTGTGAGTAAAAGTAGTTTTACCTGTTCTTGAACGCGTTGACACCGTGCAGTCACGTGCCGGTGCGACATTATTTCCTGATATTTCACCATACACAGATATTGCCTTCTTGTTTTTCTCTTCCTACCCTTCTCTCACACCCAAATTTCACATCAATCTCTCTCTTTCGAATTCTTGATAATCTTTACTAATTTTTGTTTTTTGATTACATAAATAACTAATTGATTGAATAAATAAGCGAAAAGTGTGGCAAAGAAACCAGGCCAATGATCGCGTCCGATTACGTTGAGTTTCTTAACTAAACGTAATGACGACACGTTTCGCGCATGCAAGTATTATTTCCTTGAAAATCGATCCGGATTAAACACGACGGGATTAGCAGATAGCGTTATTATCGATCAATACAATTAATCCCATTTAATACACCTATTCCAATGTTCTTAAATACATGTGATACTTTTTTTTTTTTTGTTAGCGGAAGATAACGCAAGTTGTATTATGTAAACAAATACGTTACGTTTACGTACGTTATCAACCGTTCACACAAATATTTTGCTAGGTTTCATTGTCATGTGAAATTCCATCATTTTCTTCATCAAATTCAAAGGACAAAATTGGAAAACTTTTTTTTGAGAGAATTTACTTATGGCATTAATATGTGTGTAAATTGATAAATTTTGAGTATTAATTTTGGGTTAAATTCTGTAAAAATTAGAAAAATTCGAAACTTTTTTGAGTTGTAGAATGTATGTAAATTGATATAATTGAGGGTTCATTTCTTGCTTTTTATTACTTTCAATGTTTTAAATTCAAAATTTTGTCTAATTGTCTAAAGATTACAAAAAAAAATTGGAAACTCTTTACTTTCATTCTTACTTTCTCTAGTTAAAATCAATCCATATGGATCAACCGTTCACACAAATATTTTGCTATGTTTCATTGTCATGTGAAATTCCATCATTTGTCACTTTAAGCTTCCTTGATCTAAATGTTATGAAACAGCTGTTAATATTCCTTCATTGTCATTCAATAATTTAGACTTTTCACTCAACGAAATTCTAGTATAAGTTTCAAAAAATGCATTATTATTTACTTCCCCCAATTTATATTGATTCTTTTAGTGATTCAATACAATTTATTTCCACATCAACTTTATTGAAATTTCTTCTTTGATTTAATAATTAACCTGAATTAACATTGGTTTTCTTGCAATATTAAATAAATTTTTACAATAATAACTTTGCTTTAAATAAGAAAATATCCACGTAATTTTGCTTCATTTACAAACGTTTAAAGTATTTCAGTTTTCTTTTATCGTTCTGTTTTTGCATAAACACGTAAACTCTAAAAGCAATTACAAATATGCTCATTGTTTTGAGCGTCATTCTGTAATGGAAATATTTGCAATGAATTTCCGCACTTTTCCAACTTATTTTATATATTATAATTGTATACTAATATCTAATACGTTTAGTTTTTAGTGTTTAGTAGACTTAATCGATTAATTAATAAACAATCAACATAAATTGCAGCTTAATTATGTATACTTAAAACTATTAAGTATTAAGTTATAATGACATGAAGAAATATTACATAGAAAGTCGGACTATGAACGAGAACGAAATTTTTCCTTTCTGTTTATTTAATTAACTAATGAGACAAAAATAATTCAAAATCAAAATTGAGTTTTCTCAGAAAATGATGAAATTATAAGGATTTGTGTAATCATTTAAATCAATCATTAGTAAACATTTTGCGAGAATTTTGCATGCATCATAAACTAAATTCCACGAAACAGTTTACTAATTGGTAGAATCACTATCAATACACAAAAGTAAATACTGATAGTAAAATTATATCGTCGTTTCATGTTTTTTTTTCTAACGAAACTAAACCTTTAAGTTTCAAATTATTGTTGTAGAGAAAATCGTGAGTTTTCGAAAGTTGTAACGAAAAAAAAAGTCTAAATGCCAACTAACACCATTGTATGTGAGTCTTCTTTGAAATGCATTTCTAAAACTGGATTACGAAACGACGATCGAATCATAATAATAGAAGAAGAAAAAAATATAGAATGTTTATTATGTATGAGATTCACGAAGGTTAAAGCTTTCACTCGATT